CCTCAGCCCCAGCCCCAGCCCCTGACCCTGACCCTGACCCTGACCCTGACCCTGCCCAGCAATTCTCTCCTTCCCTCCCCCACCCTCTTCCCCAAGAAACGGCTCAAACTTGCTCCAGATTTGGTTTTCTTTATGCTTTTATTTTCAACATTTTTAAAAATGTGTTTTTATCTGGCTAAGTAAAGTCAAAAAAACACCTTGGAAATCATAGAAAAATGCAAAGGGAAAACAGTCACCCATTTTCCCATCGCTCTAGAGACACGTTCACTCAGAAAGCATTCTGGTGTGCTTTTCGCTGTGCTTCTTGTGCATACAATACATAAAGGTTTCGGAATAAAGCCACGGTTACGCATGCTGGTAGATGCTACACCGTCTCAGTAAATGTTCTCACGCGGCCTCAGTTATGGATTGAGACGGTGTCCTCCGCAGTGACCTCCAATATAATGGGGTGAGGGTGGTGCAGGGCCAGGCGACGTTCTGTTCTGTTCTGTGAAGCACCTATCAACTTGGCAGCACTTGTCAACAACAACAACAACAACAGTTTATTCCAATGGTTCTCAACCTGTGGGTTGCGACCCCTTTGGGGGTCGAATAACCCTTTCACGGGGGTTGCCTGAATCGTACCAGTAGCAAAATGACAGTGATGAAGTAGTGACCAAAATAATTTTATGGGTGGGGGTGGGGGGCTCACCACAGCATGAGGAACTGTATGAAAGGGTCGCAGCATCAGGAAGGTTGAGAACCCCTAGCTTATTCCATCATGCAAATAAGTGTGCCAGGCAGAGAGTGGGGGTGGGCAACTAGTATCCTTGTGTATCCTCCCTTGGAGCCAGTCTGGAAGCAGAGTGTAAATAAAGCAGAAATCCTCATGCAAGCAGTCGGCTGAAGGAGTGCTGTCAGGTGAAGCTGGCGAAGGAACCAGGAGAGAATGCTGCTAGCAAGGTTAGGAGCCCAGAGTCTGTTCTGACTCAAGCGACGAACCCCCCCCCCCACCTCCCCCGTACAACCAAGCAACAGAATAGGAAGGGAGCGAGCCAAACTAGTTGTTGTCAAGGTGGTTCCAGCATCTGGCCGCCCGCCCGCAGGAGGGTTTTCCATTGGCTGCGACCTTCCGGAAGCAGGAGAGCAGGCTTTTCTTCCCAGATATCTTGGAGTTGACTCAAACCACTGATCTTCTCCTTGGAAGCCACACCTGTGAACCATGTGTGTCACCCAGGCAACCAGAATGAGAGAGGGACAAAACCCAAGCCCACTCCATGGAATTGGTTCCAGCTGGGACTGTCATGCCTGATAGGAGCAGCCAGCCTCGTTTTCCTTCCAGGAGCAACTGGTGGGTTTGCACCACTGGCCTTGCAGTTAGGACCCCAGTGCTTATGCCAGCGTGCCGCTGGGGCGCCTCAGAATAGAGAAAGGCCCTGCTGGAAGATGTGGGTCCCAGGGACATCCAGGTCCAGCCTGGTTCCACGGAGGCCTCTAGAGTCGGGACGGCACCACAGAACTGCCCCACTTCGAGGCCTTTGAAACCCACTGATCCCCTTGGCTATGGGCTGCCCCCCTGGGTGGGGAGGGGCAGGGAGGATAGACCCTCCTAAGCACCTCTTGAGATGGAGACAGTCCCGTGTCACTCAAGGACATTCTCAGGGGAAGGGGGCATCTGCCAGCTGTTAGCAACTCCCGTAGCAGCTGAGGGCCAGGAGCCTTGGCTCCCTAGAGAGGGTCTGCTAAGGCACAAGGAGCCTCAGCTGCATGTTCATGAGATACATTCTTGGAGATGGGATCACTGGGTTTCTAAAGACTTTGGGTCCAATTGTCTGTGCGGCTTCCCCAAAGAGAGAACTGGTCTGCCCTCCCAACTGACAAGGGTGGGAGCAGAGGCTTCCCCACAGTTGCCCACGTCCCGTCCCGGGGTAGGTGCCCCCCCCCCTATGTGCCAGATCTTTTGCATCCTCACCCACCCGTTCAAAGAAGAAGCACCTTTGCTTTGCATGCGCACTTCCTTGACTATTGGTGAGACAGAACACTCTCTTTCAGAGGCTCGCTGGTGAGTCGCGCTTCCAGTTCTGTGAAGGTCCTCTGGTGCTGTTATTTTTAAACCAAATCACCCATCCCGCTTCCCTCTGGTTCTTTGCCAAGCTCCGATTCAAGCAGGTTTCCTTTCTCACTTGCGTTCAGCCAGCTCCCCTGCAACGGCTAAGCTGCGAGGGCGGCAGAGACCCTGCTGCCTCTGGGGACCTTGGGTCTGGGTCTCACAGTCCCACCTCCATGACCTCAGGGCAGAGAAAACAGAATGCTGCCCGCAAGCTGGTGTCCAGGGCCAGCCCCAGGAGCTGTGGGAGAGCCAGCGGTGTATTCCCTGTTTGCCTGGGGATGTGTGGCCAAAAGGCCTGACACTGGTTTTTGTTTCTCCTCCTCCTCCTCTTTCGTCATCTTCTTCTTCTCCTCCTAAGGCCTTCGAAGACTTTTACCTGGAGCAGAAGCCCACCGTGAAGGCCCTGCTGGAGTACACTGACAAGGTGTTCACGTTCATCTTCGTGTTCGAGATGCTGCTCAAGTGGGTGGCCTACGGCTTCAAGAAGTACTTCACCAACGCCTGGTGCTGGCTCGACTTCCTCATCGTGAATGTGAGTGAGTGGCTGAGTGGGCACATGGGTTTGGGGCTTCCCGGCCTGTCCCTCAAAGACCATTCCAGAGGAGGTCCGAGCACGCAGCGGTGAGTCTGAGTATATAGCCTTGCACGTCTGTGAGTGCTAACCTCCAAGCAACACGTGATTCTGGTGCAACCGTGACCCTCGGATTGTGTCATGGATTGTGTCACCTTCCAGCAAGAAGGACCATGTGCCTGCCCTCTGCGTTTGCACCCAAAGCAGGACGACCTGCAAGAGAGAGACATGGGCCAGTACAACTGTGATGCCTAGCAAGCCCCCCCTAGACGGGTCAGGAGACCGACTGGAAGCCTCTGCCGACTCACGTGGTTGCAAGGACAGTAAAACTCCAAATTTGCAGGTCCGACAACAGGCTGGAGGACTCTGCTGGCTCCTGCCTATGTGCTGCTGACGGCGTCACCATCTGCAGGCCCGATTTTGCCAGGCTGGAGACCCCTGCAGATTTATGTCCTAGGAACCAGAGATCAGGCGATAAGAATGGTCTGTGGTTAAGAGAGAAAGAGAGAATGCTAACTTTTCCAAAACATCCGCTTATATTTTGGAGACAGGCCACACACACACACACACACACACACACACCAGGAAAATTCAACTTCCAAATGATGGGCTGCTTGCATCAGATCAAGATCGCCTCGTGGAAATCGATCGCATTATGTTGTATTGTGAAAGAGCAACCAGCGTAGTATTGGCCAAACCACTGAGAATCACAGCCTAGACAAGGTGACTCATCATGCCCTCTACCCTGAGGGGTCCTAACCCTAGCTGTAGAAACACCTGGGGACCACAGATCCTGATGTTGCATGTCTTGGATGGGGCCTAGGCATCAGGGGTTTGTAAAAGGATGTCAGGCATGACTAACATGGTGTCATCATCCCTGAGCTTATGCCACTAGCTCCCCCATGGTGGGTCCCTTCGGAAAGATGATGGGCTGAAGCTCCTGGGGTTCAGAATCATCGTAACTTGTGGCCACGGATGCCTGCATGAGGGAAATGACCGAGTGCCCACCCACACCCTAAATGCTATTCCTTTAAAGTCATCTCCCAAGAGTCTTCCTGCCCCACCGTCAGGAGGGGTCTCTCCCCACTCTTCACCGCTTCACCGATATAACTTGCCAGGCCCTTGGCCTCTGCAGTTTGCAGCAGGACTGTAGGAGTTAACTGATCAGCGCTGCACATCCAAGGGTCCCTGCAAGAACGTGCTGCGTTCTTCTCGGCCTCCTCCACTCCAGCAGCTACCGGCACCAAGGTCTGTGTTGCGCTGTGCTCGGGGAAATGTGTCTGTATTTGGTGCCTGCCTCCTGAAGCTGGATGGGGGCCAGTACAGAACATTTTTGTCCAGCCTCCTGTCTTGGCAGGTCCTCCCACAGCAGTCCTGTGAGCATCAGGCTGGGAGGCCTGAGAGCTGAGTCACAGGTGATCATTTTGTGCATATAAAATAATTATTCATAAACGAAGGAAAGCTGTTGTCTTCTTCTCACTGCCCACCAGGTGAGGGGCAGAAGCATTTCTCTCTGTAGGCCTCACTGGGTTTAGTCTGGGGTTATTTTACTCTCCCACGCAGACTGAGTTTTCCTTCTGATTTTTATCCTTTATTCCTTCCATCCCTTCATCCATCTATCCAACCATTGGCCTTCCCTCTTCCCTTCCTCCCAAGCATCCATCCCTCTTTCACTCCTCGGCCATGTCTATCCCTCTCCTTCCATTCATGTTTCCAGTCTTCTTTCTCTCTCCCTTCTGCCCATCCAGCTAGCCTAACCGTCCTTTCACCCGTCTGCCCACTGACCCTTCGCTCTTCTAGCTTTCGATTCATTGTTTCATCCCTCTATCCAACTATGGGATCATTTGCTCTTCCGTTCATCCACTCGTGAATCTGCCACCCAACGATCCTTCTGTCTCTCTTTTCTTCCTCTCACCCATCCAGCTGCCCCTCGTTTCTTCCGCCCATCTTTCTGCTTAGCCACTTTCCTTCCGTTCATCCATCTGTCCGTGTACTCAGCTAGTCAATCTTCCAGCTGCTCGTTGGTTTCTGACACGCGTCTGTTCTATTCCATGCTCCGTTGTTCCATTCATCTGAAAGTCTCAGGGACCGGAAGGAAAACGCACCTGCCTTGGAGGAAGCTTGACCAGAAGGCTCCTCCGAATGGAGGGTGAGAAGACCGTCTCTCACTTACTTTGAGCAGGTGATCAGGAGGGGACGGTCCTTGGAAAATGGAGCGAGTCATAGAAAACAGAGAAGGTCCTCAACAAGAGGGATGAATACACTGGCTGCAGAAACAGGCTCGAGCTTTATAATTGTGAAGATGGAGAAGGACCGGCCACTTTGTTATGTTTTGCTGCCTAAAGAATCACTATGAGTTAGGGCACCTAATGGCATCAGTCCTCGTATGCAGCCTCCCATCTCCCCCCATCCACCCCTGCAATAAGGCTTTGTCTTCTTCCATGCTTCCAATCAACTGTCCCCCACCTTTGTGCTGCTTACTTCATCCTTCCTTGCAGTCCTTCTTCCGCCTCCCTCTCAGCTGCCCTCCTCTCCCTCCCTGCTGTCTCCTCTCCACCCAAGGATGTGTCTATCTTTTCTCCCACCTATCAAATATGACGGACAATGACTGAACACAAGATTGCCTCGTGAATCACTTTGGGAAGAAGCAAGGAATAAAGGCAAGAAGGCCAGCGAAAGTTCATGAATAAATCTCATTGTTTCTTCATTCCATTTCCCCGTGAGCTTTTTGAAACCTTTCTGTGTTCTCCATAGGCAAGAGTTTCGATGTTAATCTTCCAGCTGATGAAGCACACACAGAAAAAAGTTGACCTATTGGAAGGAGTTGGAGGGGTGGGAGTGTAAGCACTACTGAAGAGGATCGGTATCTTGGGGACACAGAGACATGACCCTTGCTTCCTCTGGAAGCACCGGAGTGGTTGAGAAGCTTCCGGGGGCAGCGGCATCAGCTGTGGGGCTGAGAAAGGAGAAGTGGTTCAGCAAGCATGAGGCAAACTGGAGAAGCCAGTCTGTATGACAGAAGACCCGGAGCCAAGGCACACGCACAGGTGTGTTCAGGGAACAACTTGGTGAGGGTATGATAGATGCATGAAACTTGACGACAAAAATAGGTTGTGACCATAAAATCCAGGCTAAGGGATCTGGAGCTTTGGTCCCGAGGATGAGAAAGGCCCAGTGAACGCTGGGACCAAGAAGGAGACATACTCGATCAAAACTGCAGTGGAGCATGGGCAGCCAGTGTGCAATCCTGGGAACTGGAGACCGTGTGGGAAACAAACGGCCTGAGGAGTGAACAGAATGGGGTTGGTGCAGGACTTGGCTGGAAAACCCCCAGCCCCTGGCAACCCCAACTGCTGATGGTCCACAGGAGACAGTTTTCCAGGTGAATGAACCCAGGAATGAATGGGGCCCAGCGTGCTGCTGGCTTCAACCAGCCCTGCCCTCTGTCAGCCAGGATGCCTCAGAATGCCGCCTGCTGGTGCCTGGGGCCTCCCTTGGATGAAGGCCGAGAGAGGATTCTTTCCCTTTCTGTTCTTTGCCCTGGTCGGGAAAACCACCCATTCTAAGAATGGGCGTTGTTTGAGACTCTTATTGCTCAAAGGTAAATCTCTGTCTCTCTGTCTGTCTCTCTCTTTCTCTGTAGTGTGTGTGTGTGTGTGTGTGTGTGTGTGTGTGTGTGTGTGAGTGTGTCTCGCCTCGTTGCTAGGAGTTGCAGCCTGAATCTCACTGGGGGTATTTTGAGTTCTCACGGGTCTGGGTCACAGCCTTCGCCTGGCTCAAGCTATGTCTGGATCATGTTGTCTCTCTGGCATCTTCGGACGGTCCAGAGAGGTGTTGCCAATGATTCCTTGTGTCACTTTGTGTCCTTTGAAGTCCTTTGGCTGACACCTAAAGAATGTGAAGGACTGCCAGGCAAGTAGGGGCTCACAAGTCAGTCTTTAGCCCTCAGATATCTGTGGCAGCTGGACTTCAGGGACACCGGCCAGTCGCCCACGCGGAAGTACCGCAGGGCTACGCAGACCTCGGGATACTCTTAGTCTAGCTCCTTCATCTCACAGAGGGTGGGAATGCAGCTTGAAAGGCACTGACCCAATGTCATGAAGAATCCATGCTAAGTGGGCACGGACCCCCAGACTGCCAATCTTTCTACCCACTTTCCTGGACAAGGATGGCTGAGAATCATTATATCCCTCAAAGTAAACTCTCAGCATGGCCCCATTAAAGAGCACCCTTTCTCCAATCTCTAAAAGTTGACTATGGTTTCAAGATTGCCAGAGCCTGGGCAGAGGACCTAGAAAGGAAAGGGGGTGGGGGAGCGTCATGTGCTGGGAGTTTGGCCACCTACTTACCAAAGGGGTTAGCAAAGCGGAAGAGTGGCTTTCTTTTTCAAAGAAGTAATGAAGTAAAAACCTGGAACAAAAGAGGGGGGACTGTCTTTCTCTCAACCTCTCATTGGCATTGAGGATCACATGGGGCCTGAACCGGGGCTCAGACAGAGTAGGAGGTAGGAGAGCAAGCCGGGAGGCTCGGTCTCCTTCCACTGGGATGACCTTTCGGGGATGGCGGGGTGATGGTTTTGCTCTCTACCTGTCCTCAGATCTCATTGACAAGCCTCATAGCAAAGATCCTGGAGTATTCTGAAATGGCACCCATCAAAGCCCTTCGGACCCTCCGTGCCCTGCGGCCGCTGCGGGCTCTGTCTCGATTTGAAGGCATGCGGGTAAGACCACAGCCCTGACCTATCACAACTTGCTTTGATCTGCATTTGGTAATATCTCATCCACCCCTTTAATGCCCACCATACCACTCCCCTTGAGTGCCAAGAGACTCTCCTCCAAAGGTGGACTCTGGCTCCTCCCTGCCCTCACCAACAGAAACCAGGGTTTGTGAGAAGTCCACCTGAGGAAGTGAGTGAGGGGAAGGTAGAGACTGACAGTGACTGGTAGGGGGAACATCTATGGGATCGGATGGCATCCTGAGATCAGGTGGGAATTGCACTCCAGGGGAGTGCTGTCCTCATGCTCCATCAAGTTCCTTTGTGACCTCTTTGTGTCCACCCGTGAACTCCACAGCCACACAGCCACCAGGGCTCAAACCTCACTTCTTCTGTTCTTAGTGAAATGACCCTCATGCCTGGCTCTACATAACTTTGCTTATCCCAATCTCTCCACCCCACCTCTTGTCCTCATGGCCAACATCGCCAGAACATTCTGAAGTCTTTACCCGCCTATGACAAATGAAGTGTTCCTCTAATGCTCCATTTCAATGCAACGCCACAGTCTTCCTTCCAGACACTCAGCTGGGCCCTCAGTCACCACCATTCCCCTGGAGTGCAATTCCTACCTGATCTCAGGATGCCATCCGATCCCATAGATGTTCCCCCTACCAGTCACTGTCAGCCTCTACCTTCCCCTCACTCACTTCCTCAGGGTGGACTTCTCACACACCCTGGTTTTGTTTTATAGGGAAAAGGGTAGCTGCCAACTGTTCCCCCTCCCTTTTTTCATAATATGCTGCCACCGTTGGCCCAAAGTAGACATAGCTTCCTTTTAACTCAACTGTGTCTTGAAAACATGGGGAGTGTGTTAGTCCAGGTAGACTAGAGAAACAAATCTGGGGAGACTCATATATGTATAAGAAAGAGCTTTATATAACATAGTAATTGTATATTAAGAAAACATCCCAGCCCCGTCCAGATCGAGTCCATAAGGCCAATATTAGCCCATATGTCCGATATTAGTCCATAAGTTCCTCTTTAGATTCACACAGCCATGCAATGATGC